ATTTGTACTTGGTGAAATGGAAATCCTGCTTAACCCAGCCTAGCTTGCCAAGCACTTGGACGTAAAAGTCGTACCAGTCTTTGACCTGCTCCCCTTTGGGGTACTTCTTGTCTGCCGCCAGCTGAGCAAACAAAGTGGAGTTCTGGACGTCGAGCAACTGTTGACCGCTCACGTTGGAGGTAAAGGCAGCGGTACTACCAGCAACAACTTGGCCGTGAGGCGAAGCACGATTTACGTGTTCGTCGAGTTCCATGGACTTTAAAAATGCTACGTGTTGGCTATACATGATGACAGTTCTTGGACGGTCTGATAATACACACGAGAGCTTAAGCCCTGGCTAGCGCTTTTAAGAACTTCAAAACAAAAGAATATTTGTAAAGTTGAACATGCCACACTACGCACTATATATGGTCAAAAATTGATCCCGTTAGTCAGGTTTTTCGATCCGTGACCGCCGGCAGCCAACCTGAAGTATTGAGTTCATCCATTCGAAATCTGTGGGTTCTTTGGCGGATAATTCTGCTGTCTCGGTTAGCTTTTACATTACTGCCTATTAGCCTTTTCATCACTTCTTGCTGAGTGCTCTGTGCAGCTTTCTATGTTTTGCCTCTGCCTACATCACTATACTGAAACCAGAAAGTACAAATCTAAGCCATAAATCTGGATAGACCGTAACGATAATGCCAACACGTTTCATCTCGAAATCAGTACTCTCACTATGTTGGATTCTTAGCTGAGTGACCATCCAGGCCATCATATAAATGGTCCAAATGGAATATCATGAAATACGTTGCACGTCGATGGCGCGATGAATACACCCTCGAAATGATCGAAGCGTAATCGTTTGTCTCAAAATGCGTAGTCACTTCCGATATGCGGAATTCAAATCATAATTTGGCAATAGATATCGTGCTCCATGTATCACAGGTGGTAAGGTATAGAACAAACAGAAAAATCAAATGATAGAAGTAAGGCTGATTGACACAGAAAGGTAAATAAATGACTACAAAAACTTTATCAAATGTTTTCGACTCAAGGCTTATTAAACTAGCCTTTTCAATTCTTGTCGATTGCTAGGCAGAACTGTAATTTAGGCGTCGTTTATGATTTTTGCAGGAGTCACAGGCGCATTAATAGTCTAGCAATTTCCTTCTTTTCAGTTTTAAGTAGGTGAATAACAAATACTCAAATTAAACGCATGCTATTTGAGTTTTCAATCAACAGTCCAACTCAGACATTCAAATGTTTAATGAAGAAAAGTAGACGTCGTTGGCTATGGAACGGTCTTCGTGTTCCAAGGCCTTCACCGTCATAAGTAAAATCAATTGCGTCAGTAATTAACTAAACAACTCAAGAGTCTTCCTTATCGATAATAAGCAATACACATGCATGCGGAAAGTTTTGCATGACAGTGGAACTAAGTCAAGTACAGGTATAAGATCCGAGGGTGGAGATCATAAGTGTTGTTTTTCAGGTTTACTCTAGGCCGAAAGAAAATATATGACGGAAAAAAAAACAAACCCTTTGACCTTGTAATTTGGTAATATCATCTAAGCTGAAATTGTAATTGGGCCACCGTAAAGAGTTAAAAAGCTGACGTTTCGAGCGTCAGAGCGAAGTGCCCCGCTCTGACGAAGGGCTAACGCTCGAAACGTGAGCTTTTTAACTCTTTACGGTGGCCAATTTGCAATTTCAACTTTAGTTGAAATTGCCAAATTACCTTGTTACCCCCACCGACGCAGCAACACAGTTTCTTTAGAAACTTACCCCCTTTATTCATTTCTCTTTAACGTTGACCTCGGCATTGTGATGATACCTTCCCGGTTAGGTCAAGCACTACATTCGAAATCATTAGTTTTTAGCGAAAACATTTGGACTTCTACGTAGGTTTACTTTGTAAGTTCCCTCATCAACTGAAGCATGTTATTGCAGATTGAGTCTAACACCCATAGAGTTACCATTAGGATATTTTTCTGGTTTACGTTGTAAAAAAAATCAAATTCCTTTACCGTTGATCCCAGCATTGTGAAGAGATCCTTTACAGGTCAAGCAATACATTATAGAAATAACGAGATCTCTTTTTAAAAGTATTTCCGTGAGCATTTTAAAGTATCTTAATTCTAAAACTCATCGAATTGTCTTCTAGGTACATTTCTCAGTCTATTAATGAAAAATCATTTTACCAGTGGGCTTGAGTTGGATAATCATTGGTTCCCACATTATTGCAACTGCACCGCTATTACCGCTATTACATTAATTTCAAAAAGATATATCGAAAACCAAAATATTTCTTTTTTCTAATTTGGCTACGTATACTTCACAAACTTCCAAAGCTCACCTTTGAAGGAAGCAATTAAAGATGCACATTGAACCAAACCAGGTGTTCATAGCAAAACATGGCCTACGCTTCGAAAGTATGGTTATACCTGGACTTTCTTAGTTGTATCCTTCGACATTTTGATGTCAAGTAGACTAACATGCCAACGATATTACAATTGTTTGTCTCACAATGTGTAGTCACTTCCCATGTATATGCGGAATTCAAATGGGATGATTTGGCAATAGATATACTGCCACATGTATCATTGGTGGTAAGGTATATGAAACAAACAGCAAAACCAATTGATAAAATTAAGCCTCAGGGGTTAGCAGAGAAAGATAATCAAATAACTACAAAAGGTTTATCAAATTTTTTGGACTCAAGGCTTATAAAGCCAGCCCTTTTAACTCCATTATTGTCAATAGCTAGGCCGATCTGTAACTAAGGCATCATCTAATCATATTTGCAGGAGTCAAAGGAGGAGTAATAGTCTAACAATTTCCCTCTTTTCAGTTTTAGTGGGTGAATAACAAATACTCAAACGCATGCTTTTTGAGTATTCAACCAACATCCAATGAAGCATTTAAATGTTTAATGAAAAACATAAAACATCGTTGGCGTTAGGCCAATATCTTCACTGAATAAGTAGAATTCATTGCGTCGGTAATTAACTAAACAACCCAAGGGTCTTCTTCCTTTAAGCGATAAGTGCACAACGGCAAAGCTTTGCATGATAGTGGAACTGTATGTCAAGTACGGCTGTCACATCTGAGGGGGGGCATTACACATGTTGTTTTTCTGGTTTACTCTACGCCGAAAAAATATATAAAGGAAAAAAAACAAACCTCTTTAACATTGACCTCAGCATTGACATAGCGGGTAGGACAGGCAATACATTAAAAATCATTAGTGCATGGAAAAAACATTGTAGTTAACGTTGTTGGCGATGGGATGGTCTGAGTGCCCATAAAGGGGGCAGTGATAAAAATTAAGGAAAACAGCTCGATAGTCTTCTTCATTAAAAATATTCCATACAATACTTTGGTTGGATCTTCGTTCCTTTGAAGTAATACATAATCGAATGGAATATAAATAGCATAAGTGAGATAAGAGGAAAAGACGCATAGAGAACCAAACCAAGGTGTTCACCGAAAAACATAGCCTACGCTTTGACATCATGATTATACCTCGACTTTTTCAATTGACTCCTTCGACTTTTTGATATCAGGTAAACTAACATACCTACGATAACAAACAATTTCTGACAGCTGCTTTTTTAAAGGAAATTAAGAGTTGCCAATGAGCACTTTTCAGGTATATACCCTGATTACAAATAAGCAGTCTTCAACGAAAGAAACGGACTTGTCTTATTACAAACAATCATTTTGTTTTTTAGCAACGTGGGACGAGAATAAAACAATTTTTCAGCCACTTGTGGTAAAGTCTCAATCACTGTTAATTTTCAAATTATATCCTGAATAAGAAACGTACACTATAAACTCCAGCTCTTTGAATGCACCGAGACCATTCATGACCCTGTCACCCAGTTTTTGACTGACTTCTTCGCGAACTTGATCATCGATCACGTCTTCCGCAGACATCTGCAATGCTATTTCCTGCTCGTTTTTCTCCCGGCGAAGAAATGGTCTTCTTTTATTTCTTTGGACTGAAAATAGTAACCAAGGAAGTTAACACTAACCTGCTCGTTCTTGTCAACTGAGCATGCCAAAATCTCAGTGGAAGTTACCACGGTTGTGCTGTTGATTCGAAAAGGGCTAAAGCACTTTTGGATTTCTCTATACACTCCCCATTGTGTCTTTCAGAGCCCTCTTCTC